TTGACTTTGGTCCAAAACTAAATGAATGTTGAAATCAATGTTTATGTACCTTGTCTATACAGTGTCTATATGCCTTTTAATTTCTTTGTTGAATTAGTTATTTGTTTTTATAGTGATTAAGATTATAATACAATGTTGACAGCTGTACCCCAATTTTTGACAATTTTACCTATTATGTCTGTTTGCTTTGCTCACACATTGTTGTTCATATAATGGAATTCTATGCGACTGTCATACGAGTGAGAGGTTAAGCTAGCTATAAAACCAGGTTTAAGCCACCATTTTCTACTTGAGGAAATGCCTGTACCTAGTCAGGAATATTACAGTTATTTTCAATTCGTTTGATGTGTTTGAGCTTTTGATTTTGCCATTTTATAAAAGACTTTCCGTTTTGAATTTTCCTTGGAGTTTGGTATTTTTGCTTATTTTACTTCCCGATTACCCGCTATCAAACGTGTATACACAAAACCCCTGAGTAAGACGTTTAAAGGTAAAAAAAATAACCTGTTATGTAGATATATAAAAATAAGAAGGGTACCAACATTATGTATTAACTCATTTATGTCACGTTGCAGACAAAAATCAACTATTCACCGAAATAGTATCTATCGTAAAGGTAAAAGAGGGGCGAAAGATACCAAAGGTACATTAAAACTCATAAGTCGAAAATAAACTGACAACGCCATGGCTAAAAAAAAAGACAAAAAGACAAACAATAGTAAACAAAACACAACATAGAAAACTAAAGACTGAGCAAAACGAACCCCACTAAAAACTTGGGGTGGTCTTAGGCTCTCTGGAAGAGTAAGGTAAAGGTATGAGATACTTTCACATGTAAAGTTTTACCGTGCATCTAGTAGGAAACTACTTTTGGTGTTGTCAAGGAAAGATAATTCCTATTACAAGAAATATTGTTTGACCTCCTCTACGAATTGATGAAAACAAATCTTTGACTAAAGAATAATTTTAAGTAATTGACCTTAATATTGATCATTTCTTACGCATCTGGTGCACAAAAATTGGTACTGTCAAAATTATTCATGAACAAATAAGTTGTACCATCAAATTAACTTATTGAAATATTTTACCCCATTATATATGCCATCCATGCATAACTTCGATAATCTTAACTGAAACATATACACAAGCTGACATGTATTTTCTTCATATTGCATTGCGTATGTTACAACTAGATAGTCAAAACGTTTAGGCTAAACGATTTTGAAGGATCAGAACATGAATACAAACAATGGCGTAATGAAATGTTTTTGAGACGTCGAGAAATATTGGATTAAAATTCAAATATGGACATTGTTGAAGCTATAAAAAAAAATGAATAAACAAAAATACCGAATGGCAAGAAAAAATTATACATGGGGAAGTAGATAAAAACAAACTCTTGACCGTATAAACATGGGAAGTAGATAAAACCAAACTCTTGACCGTATAATCATGGGGAAGTAGATAAAACCAAACTCTTGACCGTATAAACAAACGGAACAAATAGAAAACAATTGTTATATTCCTCAATTAATACAGAAATATTAAAAAAAAAACACCGTTGCCTTAAACCTAGTTTTATAGTTAGCTAAAACCATCTACTTATTTGACATTGATTTATAGTTCCGTTATATTGACAAAATTGTGTGAGCAACTCAAACAGACATAATTATGTGACAATTATTGAGACCCAGTAGCCAAAATTGTGTAAATATACATAACAGATATACTACACAACTGATTTAAAAAAAAATAAAAAAATATATTTGACAAAGACATCAACAACCTCGGGAAGAGATGGATACTTTGATTCTTTTGTGGTAGGATGAGCAGCTGGGACATCCCTTTACTTATATTTTGATAACAAAAATACATAGCTTGTCATACATTTTTGAATAAAACAATATTCATATTTAGCATGATTATGCTATTTAGAGGAGAGATAAAAAGATTTGACAAATATCTGATAAATGTACAACAATGAATTTTAATTGCATCTGATTAGTTTCAGATACTTATAATTTAATTAGCAACTTTTATATATTTCATCCAAATTTATCAACCTCATCATATACTACGAAACTGAAAATAGTTCCTATTCCATCGATTCATCACTTCCACGTATTACAAAGTTAGTGGCCCCTCGAGACAGCAACTGTATCTACAAATGCTGATTGTTATAAAACCGTTGCTTATATTACTTTTGTCTGCAATCACATTTAATATATTACCTGGACAGGTTATTCAAAATATGATATATATCCAAAAAACGCTAAAACGTATGTATTCTTAATATTATACATTAAACCAAGAGTTCCAAATGGTGAAGTTGAAATCATCCCTTCGTAAATTTTACTGACGCCATCACGAGTTGGTTGACCGTTATGGAATAACCGTTCCACAGATGATATCGGATATGTTCCTTATGTCGTAACTACAATACCCTTCCCTTTTCACGAATGTGACCTACCGAATTAGTCGTTTTACCGGATTTGTAATAACATAAGCAACACGACGGGTGCCACATGTGGAGCAGGATCTGCTTACCCTTCCGGAGCATCTGAGATCACCCCAAGTTTTTGATGTGGTTCGTGTTGCTTAGTCTTTAGTTTTCTATGTTGTGTCATCTGTACTATTATTTGTCTGTTTGTCTTTTTATTTTTGGCCATGGCGTTGTCAGTTTGTTTTCGATCTATGAGTTTGACTGTTCCTCTGGTATCTTTCGTCCCTCTTTTTTAATACATGAGTGAGACTTGAAAATAATAATATACCTTTCTTTTCATTGATTGTACATTTTTTTAAAAATAACCTTTTTCAAAACAATTTGAGATAGTTAAACGACGGAATTTGAATCTTACTTATCTTTTTATTGGTAATCGTATGTGTTTATATTGACATACTTTTCGGCATCTTTCCTTTCGCACTCGTCCTGAAACCCCAATGCATGAAGTTATTCGTGTATAGTAGTTTTATCAGATCGATAGAAAGCAGAAAAACATCAAACAATAACACAGACCGGACGTGGCAGGGTATTTATCCATCCCTCATCCCTAACAACAAAAAAGACACTAAGTACAGATCTGAGAGTACTCGCAGTTACTGACAGCTAGTTTAAATATCATGTATCTAAGACTAGAAAATCAAACAGTACACATCTAACATCCAATGGATTTAGTGTAAAGACGTCATTAAAAGTCAGAGACAAACATGACCTCGTGCAATGCCAAAATATAGGTATCGACAGATTATAGTACCGTGAAAGTACATATGTGTGTAACAATAATATTAAGTATGGTTTTAATTTACTGATAAGAAAAACCAATATTTATACAAATAAAAACAATATTCAAAGATTTAATTACAGTGTTGAATTGGTAACCTTTAAGTTTATTTAAAGGATTGATAAGTTCACCCGGATCGTATCTAAATTTCTAATCTAAATAGCAAACGAGTTGGGATTGATAAACACCTTAAGACGGTGCCAAAAAAAACATCACCGTCTTAAAAATTAACAATAGGGAAAGAAAAAACATCCCTTTTTTCGTACATTTTGTGTAGAGTTTCTGGTGTAACACTGAAATATCTAAATTTAGGAAAGGACAGTTATTGCTGGTAATATTTTATTTATTTAAAGTAATTTCTTTTGGGTAAATTTCAGCAGTATATTTAAAGAATTGTTTTAAATTTGTCATTTCGGGGCCTCTTATAGCTGATTTTGTGGTATGGGTTTTACTCATTGTTGAAGGCCGTACGGTGACCTATAGTCGTTAATTTCTGTGTCATTTGGTCTCTTGTGGAGAGTTGTCTCATTGGCAATCATACCACATCTTCTTATTTTTATATAACAAAGGCAACTTTACAGCTGTTTTTGCACTTCAATATTTGAAGTGTCTAACGTCTCTGTTGTCATAATTTAAATACATGTACATTATTATAGGTTTCATAACAAGCTCTGAAAATAGGTCCAAAATATAACATATGTTTAAGCATGGAATGGGTATTAGTATGAAAAATTATCATGATCATAATTTTGTGCTTATGTCGTAAAATTTAAACAAAATAAATACAAATTAAATGATACAGTCATTTTTATCTGTTTGAACATTTCTTTTTTTTCTTTCTTAATAAGATGAGACATAATTAGAGAAGTTTATCATGTCTTCTTTGGAAGAAATACTGAAAGAAGTAAACCATCATGTAGGGGTCGGGACATAAAGTTATCCATTTTTATATAGGGAATTGGGATTTACAAGTATTCTTTATATCATATAATTTTACAATTCTCAGCATTGCATAAGAATTTTCTGATATCTTTGTGTCACAGTATAGGGGGAAAACTCGTATTTTATTTTCCATCTTGACATTCGGTTGGCCTTTTGTGCACCCTAGGGAGGTGAAGAAATGTACAATGTATGGGTACAATATATTTCTTATCAATTTATTTAGGATGAACTGCAGGGTGTTTATTTGAAATGCAAGTTTTGAGTCACATGGAAATATGTTCTTGAGAAATATTCGAAGAAGTACATCCTACTTTAAACAAGTTTTCGTATGATCATCCCACCATTTAACTTCAATTTCTAAAACAGAATAAAAAACAGTTCTAATATCCCGTACAACTGTTTTGTTCTTGTTTTTTTTTTAAAGTGGCAATTTAGAAAATGTTAGAATGTGATTCAAAGGCCAAAACGAGTGTTTGTGGAAAATTGTACTTTATTTAATATTAAGTAATAACACAGAACTAAATTATCCAATAACAAGTGCACATTTGAACAAATTAAATAATCCTTCTTTTGCTGAAGATTGTTTCAAAAACTATGATCATACCAACTGTGACTGAAAATTTGTACAAACACATATTCGTGGAGTACGGGCGGACATGCAGAAAAATATTCATTAATAAACATGCTTATAACGTATACGCAATAGATCAATAAAAATGAAAATAAAAATAAAATAAAAATAGCAGTAGAATAACCCTCTCCATCCCTGCCATTTACCTTTATCGTGACATTTCATATTTGCCCATCTATAAGTACATCCTAGGCCAGATTTCAATCTCCAGACTATATCCCCATTTTTCCAGTCGATCGATATCCTCGTCCTCAGGGTACATCATAACACTGAATGGATCGAATCACGTATTTTTGTCAACGCTTTTATCTTTGTATTGGTAATCATCGGTATTTATATATTGACATACTTATCGGCATTTTTACGTTTGAACTCGTGCTGAAATTATATGTGTATAATCAATAACATTATGATTTGATGACTTTCGAGATAGGTAGAAAGTGAAAGTAAACTAGATTCAAGTAGAAACGATTATGTAATTGTCCCAGGTTAGGGGAGGGTTGAGTGCTCACAAACATGTTTAACCCCACCACATTCTTTATGTGCCTGTCCCAAGTCCAGAGTCTGTAGTGCAGTGGTTGTAGTTGGTTTATATAATGTCTGTCATATATATATATAATATTTGTTTTGTTATGAATTAGGCCGTTAGTTTTCTCAATTGAATTGTTTCATATTTTTCATGACCGGGTCTTTTATAGCCGACTATACAGTATGGGTTTTTCTCATTGTTGAAGGCTGTACGGTTGTCTATAATTGCTTACATTGCTCATTTGAACTTTGATGAATAGTTGTCTCATTGACAATCATACCACATCTCCTTATTTTTTAAATATAAGTTTTGTGAAAATATGAGATGCAAGTACTCACTGGAATATGGGTTTATTAAGTAACCGGACATCACGAGATATATTCATTGTCCTTTTTTTATGTTAATACCAAAAGAGAACGGGTGGATTTTTGAATTTCTAAAATCTTGTCTTTCTTGAATGACGTAGAAGAATATGTTGGATTCACAGTTCTAGTGTGAATTCCTACTTCTTAGGTAGACATTTAAAGTAATCATGTTTGCATATGAGAATAATATTGTTGTTGGAGGCTTTGTCTCTGTTACAACACAAGTTAACCTCTTCTATTGCGCCTTTGCTGGTAACTTATTCAATAGCTTCAAGTATGTATCCCTAAAGCTAGGTTATGAATATTTAGGGAGAATATTCAAAAAGTATGACAGAGTTAGGTACATTCATCATGTTCATTTAGTTTTCATTTTCACACAAAGTCATATGTTTACCGGAATATGACACATGTATTTGCTGATTTTTTTTCAGATTTTTGTAGATATTCACTTAACCGTGAATGTTCTAGTGATAATTGGCGTTCTTTTAGTGTGCAAGACTATTAACTAGGCAAGCACAGATTAACTAAACTAGGGTTTGAATAAAAAAACTCAATTGGAATGCTAATAGTTTACATAAATTGGTTTTCAACTTTTAACTTTTAATTTCCTTTCTTTGTCAAGTTAAAGAAAATGCACGTGACCTAAAAAACGATACCTGGTATTTGCGTGTATTCAACTGATCGTTTTTGACTATATCATTATGATAGCTTTGATTCGTTCAAATAAATTGCATAGCTTGGATTAATCTGGCGCACTAACCCCATTGTCTTGCATAGTCCCCAAATGCATCCATTAGTAGTCTGAACTTCTTCTTCTAGTTGATTCACTTGAAACTTTTGCTAAATATCAAAATGTGACAACGATTTTGAATACACAATTTGAAATAAAATTGAGAATGGAAATGGAATTTGACAGTATGCTAACAACTAGAAAAATGCTTTATGGATGATCAAACAAAAATTACCAGTACAGTACCTTTCAAAGAGGTAACGCACAAATGTCAATATTGCAGTGCTCTTAATTATTATTTAGTCGTTACAGGGAAAAGGTAAGGACTAACAAATAAAACAATTAAGCTGAAATCAACCAGGATTTATTTTTCTGTTATAGTGATCACTGACTAATAAAACTTGCATTATGATACTTTGAGTGTACTTCGAAATATACTTGTCTTGTAAATCTCTTAATTTCTACTCAATAACCAATGTTCCAATATTTAATTGATTGCTACGCGTGTGGTAAGTTATGATAGGATTCCTGTACTTATTTGTGCATTTTTAAACAAGTAGGTAACAATTTAAAAGTTAAAATAGCGTATTGATGTCTCATGGTATTTCAGCTCTTTCTCAGGAAAAAGGAGTGGTTATGTTTTTATTTGACCTCAGATTTAAAGAATTCGCTCATTTATTTAGTACACATACCTGTGTGGAAATACATAATACTACTTAGTTTATCAAAAACTGAAATGATAACTGTTATCATGTAGTTATGTATATGTATTCATTATGTAACACAGAGAGGAATACCGAAATATTAAGAAAATCAACAAACTCGGACGTAATTTGAGTACTGCTTCAGACCTGACACGCAAATAATGATATTGTTGTATCTAAATTTGCTATTATATAGTTTCGAAATCATTTTGAATTAAGAAATGTATCTCCCTCAGGCATATATCTGATTTCTTTCCGAATTTTACTTTATTTTCGGACTTTTTGGTTGTATTAGCTCTTCAATGTTTCTAGTAAGTTTTGGACTTCGAGCATTTCTGAAGAGACATTAATTGTCAAAATGCGCATCTGGTGCAATATCATTGATACAAATAATGATATTAACTAAAGTGATGTCATTCTTATGTCATACTTCTGCCCTAATATAATGATAATCATCATTTGACCAGTTTTTTCATAATTTTTCTTGAGACGATATTAGTAACATTCATTGACAACCTATGTTTTTATAATAATGTGTATCTCACCAACAAGCATTTATTAATTACATTTTTTAGATCAAAGTGTATGTCTAATGTATTGCACAAGGAACGCGAGAAACGAGAAATTTGACAACAAACAAAACAATTTTATTCTTTGAAAGCTGTCATCTTTGTCCTTGAAAGACATAAAAGATATAAGAAGATGTGGTATGAGTGCCAATGAGACAACTCTCCATCCAAGTCACAATTTGTGAAAGTAAACCATTATAGGAAAAAGTACAGCCTTCAACACGGAGCCTTGGATCACACAGAACAGCAAGCTATAAAGGGCCACGAAAATAAAGACCGAATAAATGTATAGTTTACCTAAATTTGCATATTTTACATTGTTTTATTAATTTTCAGAATATAATATCAAAAAGTCGTTGTTTAATTTTTTGTTCAAAATTTTTGCTTTTCTACCCATACTCCTTTAGAGGTCGCTTCAAGCATTCCCGCTTCCAGTGCCCGGAGAGTACTAATGGCCTTCGGCCGGAAAACTGACAATTCTTGTAAATTAAGATTGGAGTCGAGTGCACTTGTCATGTGCGGGATTATAACTCAAAACCTCAGTGCTGACTGGCTAGTGATACAGTCGGCTGATATGATGTACCAGGGCTCACGTTTCCTATAATGATTTCCTTTTGTATTGGCCCAATGGTTATTTAAAAAAGATTATTATATTTATGGAACATTGAATAAATGTTTATTCAACACGAATGTTTGAAAAATCAGAAATGTTAAGTGCTATATATATCATAATCTGTAGAGGGTTTGTCGCGGTAATTTATTTAAGTCTTTTAGCATTGCCTCAACATTTTGCATCGGAAATAAATATCTAACACAATTTGAATTATATCAATCTATTAATGCATGATAACATATAATGTAAATAAAGACAACAGTAGTATACCACTTTTCAATAGTCATAAATCGATTAAGCGAAAACAAATCCTGGTTACAAACCAAAGAAAAGAAGGTGGGTGGAACCTGGTCCACCTTTCTTTTTATGTGATTATATACTTATATATCCGGATTCGTAATCCTACACAAGCAAAATATCTTACATTTTGAGAAGGAGTTAATTCGTATATAAAAGACGGGACTTTCAAACTTAATGGCAATTCGTTAACTATTCTATACTATGCTTTAGGGTAGGTTTTTTTGTTATAATTTGATCGTTGATTCAAATGCGTATCTGTTAATATAACTGGTAATGTTATTGGTCATGGTGTTACATTTAAATTGAACAGTTATTCATATTTTGTATTCTTGTCTTTCATTTTTCCTTATGTCCTTTGTCTATAGGGAGCGTATTATGATTTAATCCTTGATTCAAATGCGTATCTGCTAATATTACTGGTCATGTTATTTATCTAGGTGTTACATTTAAATTGAAAAGTCACATGTTTAATCTGGTTTCGCATAGATTTAGAAGACAGAAGTTTACGGATGTTCTAATCTCGAACGTCGATTACAAAGAGACAAATTAAGGTAACAAACTGAGGTACTCGCATTAATTCCAACAGGAGCGAGGTCGGTTGCGTAGACAGGTTAAGCGTCTCTTGTTATGAATGTATCACCTGCAATGCGAATCCAGATTCAGTCAATATGTCTTAATCGGGAATAGAACACCATTGCACTTGTATCAGAAGACATCAGACCACGAAAACATGTCTCTAGTGCGTAAAGACACCAATACATCATTTCGTACAACCAATTCATGATGGTGACCGTTAAAATAACTTAGCGTCTTGTGTGGACGAGACGCACGCCTGACGTATTGAATTTTAAGCCTAGTACCTTTTGTTAGCTATTATTCGTGTGTTTCTTTGTCCTATATGTTCTCCCATTTATTTGTATTGTGGTCCTGTCATGTGATGTTGTCGTTTTGGTGTTGTGTTTGACGTTGCCATAAAAGCGGGAGGTTTGGCATGCCACAAAACCAGGTTCAACCCACCATTTTTTTCTTTCTCAAAATGTCCTGTACCAAGTCAGGAAAATGGCCATTGTCATATTATAGTTCGTTTCTGTGTGTGTTACATTTAATGTTGTGTTTTTGTTGTGTCGTTGTTCTCCTCTTATATTTGATGCGTTTCCCTCAGTTTTAGTTTGTAACCCGGATTTGCTTTTATCTCTATCGATTTATGAGTTTTCGAACAGCGATATACTACTGTTGCCTTTATTCAGTCTTTTTTTTCATAGATCTGATCAGGAAGTTTTTGCGTAAGCAGCACATCCTTGTTAATAATGTACGAGATGTTCAGTGACATGACTAATACTTTACCTAAATATCTAGCATATCAAACATGAAAATATTGCATTTGTAATTGTGTTCAAATTAATTATAATTTGGACTTTTTTCTTAGGTAAACGGTAAATTATTCATTGTGACCGAATTTCTATCAATAATTAAAAATAACGTATAAGTTTCATCAAGACGCTGTTTTTATACACAATTGGAAGACGTGGTTTTAAACAGACATTCTCGTTTCTCGTTTCTCGTTTTTTATATA